AAAAAGGATGTTTCTGTATTATCCCCTAAAGAAAAGTTTCTTAGGGTTAAAACAAAAAAAAAATATTACAAAAAAATTACCTTATGGTTCTAAAGTACAGGGTACTCATCAAAATTTAAACAAATCAAATGGACAAGGAGAAATAAATAAAGGAAGGACAAAGTTAGCTGAAGTTAAAGAGAAATAGGGTGGAGATGTGGACTTCCCAGTCTGGAGTGTATCTGCCAAAAAGACACTGAAAAAAACCTGAAAAACTGAAATAAATGTATCCAATTTATAAGTTAGCACTGGATAATACAAATTCTTGGTTTAATTACTGATACTAGTAACAATTTCTAATTGCTAGATTCTACCAAATCCTTGGTAAAAGATGTAAAGCATGTGAAAGTCCTCGCACATTTCTGGTACACAGCAAACTATCGATAAATTTTAGTGATTATTTAATAACATTATTGTTATTTTCAAAGCAATTATTTACTGTCTTTGTTTTTTTTTCTTCTAGTCCAAAAGGTTTCCCAGACTGATCAGTCTAAAATGAATCTACTTCAAGATGAAATTTAGACTAAATAAAAAGCTACTGTGATGAGGTTTTTTTTTGTTAGTTTGGATCATAATCCATTTCTAACTGAAAAATGTGATACATTTTTGTTTGTTCACCTGGCACAGTGTTCCTTGGGTCACTTCAAAGAGCATGCTTAAGATGAAGTCTTCACACATTCCTGTTTAAGCCCCATCCCTTATGGCAGCTAAAGACTGTCCAGATTGCATAACCTACTATGGTTGCAAAACAGGTCATGACATTTCCTTCTAGATGAATTTGGCCTTGCTATGCTTATCATTAAACAAAACACTGCTTTTAAAGCACTGCTGAATGACCAAATGAATCACATTTCCTGTCCACATTGGCCCAGTGCATGGTTTGTGCAGCGTTCCATGATGCCCTACTTAATCTTGACTTCATCAGCTCAGCAAAATGCTATCTCTCAGCGTCATAAATCTTATGTTCTCTTTATGTAGTCTTTCCCCTTTTGAACATTTTTAAATCCCTGGCTTTAAACAGTCTCATGATTTCTAAAGTTGTTCACTTTGTTAGATACTTACATAATTCACAACATCAAACCTGTTCTTGGAAGAACATGAAAGAAGTTGATTTTGTCTTAGATGACTGATTGTTTTCTCTGCGTCCTCTGCAAAGGATGGGTCCCCTGGCTGCTGGGCAATGGGGGAAGGGATGTGTGTCAAGTAAAACCATTATTGGCAGCAAAGGCATTTGCAAAGACCTTGTTTGAAGTAATATTTTTTGCCTTCATGCTTCTTTCTTTCTTTTCAAACAGAATCAAGTGTATACTTTTCCAAGTTAATGGTGTTATTAAAACAAATGACTTAAAACAATAATTGAAAGGCACAGTGCTTGGTTGTATGTGAAAACCTGAGTGTCAGTGTGGGCTTGGTGTAGCTGCCACCAGCAGAACAGGGGTTGGCTTTGGTTTATTTGAAGCTCCACTAGGTGATTGCATTTCTGTTGTGTGGCTTCCTTCCAGCTGTCCAGCCCCAGATGACCCACTTTCCCTTTCTTGAGTGAGCCTGTCTGCCCAGCTGCACTGGAACACTGCTTCAGCACTTTGCCTCCCTCTTGTCATCTTTCAAAATCAGATGTGCACAGTGAAATCACATCTGGTTGTCTGGAAGTATCCAGCTCAAAAGTCACAGGTTTGCTGAGGAGATGGTACAGAGGTTATGTGAACAGGGACAAACATCCAGGGACAAGCACATGGGCTGTAGCAGATCTGGGCTATTACCTCCAATACCAGAGAATGTAGAACACAGTGCAGGTGATGCCCCAGAGACTCTTTCCTATTGTTAATATTGTGTGAACAATAGCCAAAGAGGCCACAGGACAAGGGAACTGCTGCATCCAATCTGAATTATTCAGCCACTTTTTTTCTAACTTCCTTCATTTTAAAGAATAAACCATCTATGAATAGTAATATGAATAATCCCCAAAGTATAATTTTAAAAGTACATTCATGGTGCATTTCTGCTTCATTCTCCTTTTTCCCTTAATAATAAGCTTTATAAGCTGAGAATCTTTAAATGGAGCTGTTCAATCACCATTTCCATTCATCTGTCCTTCAAGGCTTATCTCAATTGTTCATTGCTTTACAATTTAGCATCATTCCTTCCTTTTTGAGTTCCATTAAACTTCAATTATAATATAATCTTATTCCGTGCTACTTTTCTAGTTTAACTATAATTCCTAATGAAATTTCATCTCCCAAAAGGACAAAACCTTTATCTGCTTTCATGGGGGCCCTCCTACATATTACTACTTCCTTCCCAACCACCTGATACACAGTAGCTACTCACATATCTGAAGTGTGGCACACAGAAAGCCAATCACCAAGACAATAACCACAGTAAGCAAATGTCAGCTTTCACTGAAGACAAACCAAAGGAGAAAGACAATGCCTGAGAATGAAGTAACAACTGCTTATAAGCAGAATTTCTTAAACAGCACCATCCAAAGCAGCTGTAGCAGAATGCTGTTAACAGGCAACAAGAGTACTTCAAGTGTGAAGCTAATGCTGTTATGTACAAGTGCATCTGTCAAGAAGACCATTTAAAAAAAAAAACAGTTCCTTTAGAAATCTTCTAGATTGAAGTTCCTGAATACCCTACCAAACTTCCTGAGTCTACTGGGCACATTCTAGGAAACTGTACTGTTAAAAATTATTGCTGTTGGGATCAAAGACCAGGGTTGAAATAAAATGAAATTTGGATATCCCCTCTGGCATTAAACTTTCCAAGGGCCTCCCTTTCTACTTATATTTAGACACAAGTGTCTCACTTTGGCCCATTCCTGGTAGTCCCTACAGTGGCTCCATCAAACTCCACCTCCTCGCATATATTTCATTAGGCAATCCCCACATTCCCGAGGGTGGATTTAGTCTCTAATTTCTAACCAAAAGAATGTAGCAGAAGTGATTGGATGTTCCTTCTAAGATTAATTACATCTCTGTCTGGATCCTCTGTCTAGTATTCTTCCTCGCACCCTCAACCCTGCCCTAGTGAAACAAGCTGAGATATAATATGCGCCATCTGGAGAGGCCCCCATTTCAAAAACCTGAGGGAGGGTCCCAACTAAAAGAAGGAAAAGATCTCACTGCAAATTGAATCTTATTTGTAAATGAGCTCAGAAGTGGATCCTGTCCCAGTCAAGCCTCAGTTGAGACCACAGTCCCAGGCTGCTGATAGACCACAGAAACTCAAGACAATAAATGCCTGTTATGAGCCACTAGGTCTGGGGTAATGCTGTGACACAGCAATAGAAATCCTGTACAATTTTCTAGATCTCAGTGTCTGGACCTGTCCTCTTCCTTCCTTCCCCTCCTCTCCTCCCAAACTCTTTCCAGCTACACTGGCCTCCTTTCTAATCTCCTCTCTGGCTAAATTCACTTCTACCTCCACATCTCTGCACAGTGGAGCCTTCCCCATATACACTGTTCCCATCCTGCTACAAAGCTGGCTCCTCTTTTCTTTCTGATGGCAGCATAAATGTCACCTCAGTGAGGCTTTCAGGATTCTCCCTTGCTGACTCTCCCTCACAGCATCCTGCTTCATTTCTCAATGGCAATTACTCTTCTCTCTCACATGGATTTTGTCTCAGTGACTCAGTCCACCTGTCCTCTAGACTATGAGCTCCTGAAGTGTAGAGCCTGCATCGATACTTTCCAGAGTCTCACCAGGTCCTATAACTACCCTTGAAAAAGGGAGTCTCAGAGCATGGTTGCTTGGGTGAGTAATGCGAGATCTGAGCCCCTTTTCCAATCTCTGGGCAGCATACGTGAGGCTCTGAATGCTAGCAAAGTAAAGTGCAAGTTGGGTGGCAGTTGGCAGGACACCCAGAATGACACTGTGGGGCCTCTACCCAAGCTCCACTTGTTCTACTGAGCACAGGGGGCACTGTTCTTCCTTGGTGGTCTTCTCTGGCACTGCAGCCCCAAGCAGGGAAAACCAGAAACGAAACTTTGACTTGTCTTTGGATGTCTCCAGGGGCTCAAATGCAAGCTAGAGGAGTAATGAAGGGACCTTGGAAAACCCCCTTGTCTGGTTTCTCCCTCTACTGGCTCTGGGGTGTCCAGCTCACTCAGCAGGCTCTTCACCAGAACCTGAGCATGACTTCAGCTGCTATTCCAATGAGATCCTTAAGAGCCCAACATTCTTTTTTTTTTTAATTTAATTTTTTATTGTTGGTTGTTCAAAACATTACAAATTTCTTGACATATCATATTCCACACTTTGATTCAAGTGGGTTATGAACTCCCACCTTCACCCCATACACAGATTGCAGAATCACATCAGTTACACATCCATTGATTTACAAATTGCCATACTAGTGTCTGTTGTGCTCCGCTGCCTTTCCCATCCTCCACCCTCCCCCCTCCCCACCTCTCCCCTCCCCTCC